AAATATCACAGCATTTGATGAACAATAAATACGGGGACTGTGTGGTCTTTTTTTATTTTTGTTCTCCCCTCTCTCTCTGTGAACGACTCTCTTCGCCTCTCTCTCTCTCTCTCTTCACCTCTCACTTCTCCTTTCTCTCTCAACGACGCTCCGACTAGGCTTGTCAAAATTCGACACAACACGATAAATCGACACGAATTAAATGGGTTTAGGTGAGACCTTAACGGGTTTGGGTGGTAAACAAGTTAACCCGTTAAACATGTTTAATAAATGGTTATGTTCGGGTGAGACCTGTCAACCCGTTCATCACCCGTTTACCTGTTTAAAAAATTAACATAATAAAAAAATAATTATTATTTTAAAAAATTTAGGGGTGCAGCTCCTCTGCAGTTACCCAGAAACAACTGCTGCAGCTCCAGCCGTCGCGGTGCCACTATTCGACATCCATAGCTGCCCCAATCACCCTCTAATTTGGTTTTCGTTATTTATCCCAGAGAAGTTGTTAGTTGCAGTCAGTTGGTCTATCCATAATATTTGAAAATGAGGGATGAAAAAACATGCACAAATAAATAGGGTACCTCGATTATTGAGTGAGCTACTACTGCCCTTCATGGTTTCAAATTCCTACAAGAAAATGCAACCTTTATAACATCGGCCTTTTTTTTTAATTGTCGAGACCACTGAACAGTTCCATAAAAGTATAGGAGAAAGGTGAACAAACTCATATAGATGCCGCCAAGGATGAGATAACATGAATGGAGTTCTTGTCATTGGAATTCTTAGAAGTTTGTCAGTTTCATCCATTCTTAGAACACAATGAAAGCTTTTAGGTCTGTACAGTGAACATACTGAAAATTTTTTACTTGAATTCCACATTGAAAAATTTAAATGAAGGAGACCTCTAATGCCTATAAACAACTGTAACCCCTTTCTTTAGTCATTCAACCTTCTCACTTGCTTTTGCAAGTGACACCCAACTGAAAATCTTTTAATTATGAGAGTTTAGATGTTGTGGGTAATTAATGGAGTTTAAAATTTTAATAGAATTATTTTTTGGTGTGGGTTAAAATTTTAATAAAATTAAACGTGTTAAAGTGTCATATCGTGTTACCTGTTTATTAAATGGTTCATGTTTGTGTTAAGATTTTTCACCCGTTTATTAAACGTGTCGTGTATGGGTTTACATATTTTTCACTCGTGACCCGTTTAACCTGACACGTTTGACACCCCTAGCTCTGTCTTGACTTCTATCTCTCTCTCTTCTAGTCACAGATTGACAAAGAAAAAGGCTTCTCGTCTCCCCGCTGTGGAGGGAAGTGTAACCCCTTTCTTATATAGATATATGTGTATATATATATATATATGTATATATATACATATATCTACATAGATCTATACGTAACAGATCCTAATTGTATTTCTTTCATAAATATCTGTATTTTTTTCACCACAAGATACATAAATCTGTATATTTGTATGTCTTTATTTTCGAGGTGTGGCCTGTGTGTGAGTGTGAGTGTGTCTATGTTTTCTCTAAAGTTTTGTGTGTAAGTGTGTGAGTGTTGTCTATGTTTTTGGGATAGTTCATAAGTTAGATGCATATAATGTCATTTTAGGGTAACATTGTATGATAAGAACGTATTTTGAGTCATTTTTTTTGTATCGATGCTCAAATGCTATAACATTGTGGCATTTACAAATTTTTTCGTGTTTGAAATTGTGAAGGAAATATCATCAACCTTATTGTATTTTCCTCTGGTTTGAATTTGTAACTTGTATCATTTTTGATCCAATTAGATTTGTGAATTAATTTATCCATTTGTATCCATGTTGTACTGCGAGATGTAGAATCGAATGTCAATTTGATGCTTGAAAACTATTTCTTACCATGGCCCAAAACTTGTGATTTTAGGTGGCATTCCTTCTATACATTGTGACTATTTTAGTCATTGATGATACTTTGTTATATGTTGTTGTTTGCATAATGTTGCATGACATCGTGAATGAATGGGAAATTCATTTACGATTTCATATGTTTGATAAAAATGTGTTTAATACTAATTATTTTGCCTTTGATTGTTTATCATTGAAAGTGACTCGTTGGTTCTTTTTAATTCTGTTTTGGGTGTTTGTGCTTGCTCGTCGCTTTGCTTGGATTATATGAGGAAGATTAAAGCTTTTCTTAGTAGTTTGGAGTATCAATTGGTGCATGTATTTCGAGAAGCAAATGTTGTTGCCGATAGACTAGCTGGTCATGCTGTAATGGGTAAGAGATCTATCAATTTTTTGTTGGATCTAAAGCTACCTAGTGAGGTTGGGTTAGCTTTGTTTTTTGATCAGAAAGGCCTACCGTTTTGTGTAAGAAGAAAACTCTGATTTTTTATGATAAGTGCTAGTAGTTAGGGTGGTTTGTTGGCCGAAGTTGGAGTGTTATTTTGTTTGAAATTTGAGAAATGGAAGAGAGATGTTATGATGGTATCAAACTGTAAATTCAGGGGTTGACTGTCTTCTTGTTGTCTTAGATTGTGGCTAAGTTTTTTGGTTTTGTTTTGTTAATTTTGTTTATTTGTAATGGGAAGGTGTATGTGTCTTTCTTCTGCTTCTTGTAATTCTTTGAGTTGTGAGTAAATAAAATTTCTCTTTTTTGTTAAAAAAAAAAAGTGGATGTTTTGAGTTAAGGAATTTTTGGATTTGTATTTTGTAGTATGAGATATAATAAATCATATTTAGGATAAAACTTGAATTAGTTAAAAAACATGTTTTTGGTTTTTGTTCTCATAATTTGATAGACAAAAATGATACTCAAACATGTTTTCTGTGTTAGTGTTTATCACAAAACAGAGACAAAAATTATCTCTATTTTTTATTGTTTTGAAGACGCGAAAACGAAAATATTACGAAACGACCCTTTTAATGCACCTCTAATATCCAAAGCAATATCGACATCCTCCTAAACCTCTCGATGCATTCATTCTTTTTAGATTAGATCAACAAATCATGAAGAACCAAGGTTGCTTCTTTAATGTTCTATTTGGTACAATAGAAAAATTGAATGATGTAAAGTTAGAGGGATAGAAAAAATATAACGTTTGGTAAAAAAGGAAAATATGACGGATGAAAAAGTGGATGAATGAGCTTCATTTCCAACTCACCATAATCAATCCCTCCAAAATTAGGCGAAAAAGGCAGGAAAATGGTACTTGATAATGGTGGATTTAAGCTTGGGCTTGAACCGCCCATTTGGGGTCCAAAACTTCCAATGGGCCGCCTTGAAGAGCAACCTTAACGACCCACCTACAGCACGCCCGCTTCATCATGAAAGTGGATCATAGCCCAGGGCATGAAGTCCAGGGTCATCCAGATCTATATATATTTGTTTGGTCGTCTCAAGCACGGTAGAATGGACCAGTTCGAGAACTAGGAGCTCGGTACAGGATAGATGCAACTCTTGTCGCGCCACGTATCTAGGGCACAGGGAGACAACCTCTAATGACCCTAACGAACAAATATTCCATGATAAAGGAAACATTTGGATACATTCCATTTTGAAGACCGTGGACACACAATGTGTTAGGTGGCAGACCCGCTATAAGACAAATGAAGAGGGGACCACAGAATCAGTCAAGAAAAGAGTCGGAGTCGAAGAAAAATTGTAGACTCCAATCAGAGTTAAAGTCTGCAGTTCATTTCGAAAAAACTCTAACTCTTATTAATTAATAGTTATATAAATTATAAATTATATAATGTATTATTATAAATCTAAAATCCTATGACCAACCCACCAAAATATTTAAGCCCATAACCCCCCTCTCTCTCACTCTAACCAAAGACACTGTCTCCGACGAATCTCTCTCAGACAGTAACACACACACACTCTCTCTCTCTATATATATATATTTATTGTAAAATTTCTGCACAGAAATCTGATTTTTTTTTGTTTTTTTGGGGATTGTGTTAATTTTTGAAATTCCGCTCCGACTCCGATTGGGAGAGGTGGAGGGAATGTATTGCGGAGTCAGAGTTGGAGTTGGAGGGGAAAACTCATTCCGACCGAAGTCGGAATTAGAGGTCGGATTGGTGTCTTCCAATTCCGCCTGAGTCGGTGCCCACCCCTAATATTGTGAAGTGCTTGACAAGTGTGAACCTTGAACCTTCGTGCTTCGTCCAAAACATGGCAATATTGTACAATTCAAAGGGCTTTACACCAACTTTTGTGATACATTTATAATAGCTTTTCTAGTTTGGTTTGTTTTTATTTTTAACTTCTATATCAAATGGAGTCTCTTCTTGATGGTTTAGCTCCCCCTGTCCTCCATGGACATTTAGTTGCTGAATGATAGACTAAATCATTTCTACAATAATTCATCTATTAACAAGTAATTAGCTTGTTAGTTCATCCAATAATGTATAAAACTGATCATGTGAGAAGACAAAAACACCCTTGGTTGTTCCTGTGATCATAGGTTTCCCGGTATGCTCAATAGGGTAATGCCTAACATGTGAGTCTTCAACACATTTATTAATTATGGCAAGGCAACCACAGATAAGGTCAATCCAATTGGTGAGATAATCCAGAATGGTGTCAGATCCTTCTGTCATATCTTGGAGTTCTATAGATAATTTGTGGGTGGCTATTGGGAGGTTTGAAACAGAAATGGATGGAGCAATGAGAAGAAGACAAGAAAAACAGAATATATGGGAAATTTCAGGCAAAAAGAAAAGCAGTAGCTTGAGGTTCAACGTGACTTAAAGTGATTTCTCTGTGCTTAATGTATGACTCAAAAAAAGATGGTGCCATGGGAGTGATTGTTGTGCCACTAGAAGACGAACAACAATGAATGCTTATAAGGATGCATGGTTTCTCTCTGCTGCAATGAAGAAACTATTTTAATACAGCTTCCTGGTCTTTTGTTTTTTTAGAACTCCTCCCTTGGCAGCTAGTACTTAGTAGCACTGCCCTTCTTAAAAAGAGACACCAGAACAAAGTTTAGAGTTAACCAATGGCATTCACTTTTTTCTGTAATGTTTCACTTCCTCTCTTGATAAGCCTTATGTTCTTCCTACCTCTGATTACCATCAATTCATCTGAGCCTCTGATATCAAGCTACATTGTGCACACTGATAGCCAATCGAGGCCTTCTCGGTTCTCAACTCAAGATGATTGGTATAGTTATATGATCAATACGTTCACTGACCAAAAAATGGAATCACAATCTAGCTCTCGAATTTTCTATACATACAATGTAGTCTTCCATGGCTTTGCAGCAAGATTGACAGATAAAGAGGCTAAAAAGTTCACAAAAGTGCCGGGAATTTTGGCCGTTTTAGCAGACAAGGTCACGGTAAAGTTAGACACTACCCAGTCCCCAGAATTTCTTGGTCTGAATTTGGATTATGGCCTGTGGCCGGAGACCAACTTGGGTGAGAATGTTATAATTGGCATGGTAGATTCTGGAATTTGGCCGGAGAGTGACAGCTTCAAGGACACTGGGATTGGACCAATACCCTCTAGGTGGAAAGGTGCATGTGAACAGGGAACTGAATTCAATTCTAGTCATTGTAACAGGAAACTCATTGGTGCAAGATTCTTCCTCAAGGGTATTGAGCACTACATGTCTGACAGATTATTGGAAGAACTTGGCGAATATCGATCCCCGCGAGATGGAGTGGGACATGGCACACATACTGCTTCAACAGCAGCAGGATCCGAGGTGGCCAATGCTAATGTATTTGGTTTTGCTAATGGCACTGCTCAAGGCATCGCAACAAAGGCCAGGATTGCCATGTATAAAGCCTGTGAGGTTTTATGTTCCGAGTCTGACTAGTTGGGGTTAAAAATCTAGCAGAACCTTCAACGCCCAGGGCAGTCCAGCTAAAATTTTATGATCAGACAAACATGATTTGTTTTTCCAACTCAAGCACATGTTTGCATAACGTTAGTCGGAGAATCTAATTGCAATGGTTATGATTTCAAATCAGGAATAAGAACTGCTTTTAGCATTTAACTGACAAAATGACAAGGGAATGATCTCTGGACTTGATCCAAATTGCAGCAGAATGATATTTGCAGCGATTCAGTCGTTGACATGCTCAACTGTCATTGTCTTCATGATGCAAAGAAAAACGTGAAAAAACATTATCTATAGCACCTTTAAAACAGGGAAGACACCCTTTGTTTCTCTGCAATTTATGCCTTCTTTTCAAATTATTTGTTTTATTGTAACAATCTTCTTCCAACATGACTATCTGTTTTGGGGATAATTCTACGACTGCTAACCCTTTATCTGCTGCCCATCAACATTATCAGGGGCTCAAGGCTTCTTGCTGACCTACTCATACTCTTTTTAGTATACACCGATTTTCAGTTATTTTTGGTCTTTTTGGGATGCTATAAAGTACAATCTCTGTGTTCATTTTTTTGGAATAGAGACTGGAACATGAAATCTTGAATAGAGAGAATGCTTTATGTCACATTAAGTTCAAGAACAATGTTGTAAGTGATTTATAATGTTAAAATGCCCTGAAAACTACTCCAAGTGTGTGTGCATATGCCATATTGAAGAAAGAAAAGTTGAATTTGAGTATCAGATAAAAGATTCCCTTTGAAGGAATGTATTTTTATATGCCCCTTCCTTGAAATTAACATAGCAAATTAATCAAAGGTATTGACATTATGACTGGCAACATTGTTTTCTGAAGGAAGTCTTCCACTATTTTCTTTGCCATTTCATTCGGTGGATGTAACCCATGATCACATCGTAATTGATCGTGGCGACATATGTGCTTCAAAGCCTTTGTGATTTTAAGGTATCTGAACTGGTTTTGAATTTGCTGGTTGGGATAACAGGTAGTCCTTGGTGTGAAGTGCCATAAAGATGAAAACACATGTTTCGTAAAGATGAAATTTAGAGGCATCATACCCTTTATCGGTTCTAAAGGCATCAGACACCTTATGAAGGTCAGGACAAGAAAGAATTACATCTTACTGATCTGGAAGCTGTCTTTGCTTCTTCAGTCCACCCGAAACTTTTCTATAGTCATGCAATGTGTCACTGATGTAGAGTGTCACTGGTGCAGAGTATATATTTCTAAACTCTTTTGTAAGTGCTTGTGAAATTATACTATTTTAGAACCAAGGAAATTCCTCATGCTTGAACTCTACTTGAACTTCGTCCTCTTAACTAGTCGTGGTTTGCTGTACCTTCCCTCTATATCATGTCTGTTATAACTTGCAATCTGTCTCTTTAGATGAGCTGTTGCTGAGAAAATCAGTTAACGAACTAATGCATGACTTGCTGCAAGTTGTTCAAAAACTTGTTTCTATCAAACTTGTAAAAAGTTCAGGCCATGTGATTTTTTATTTTATAGTACTTGGCTATTTATTCCAACAATCCTTCCAGTGCTTGTTATCTTTGGATTATGTTTCTGACCCTTCACTCTTAATTTGATTTTCTTGGCAAACCAATGAATTACTTGTCTATGGGATATGTGGTGTAATTTTACAAAAACTGAAATCAAGACGAGGCAAAATGGCTTGACAAAATGACTTTGAAAACATGAAAACTGCAAGGAAACTGGTCATGAAGATGAGCATAAACAATTTCAGAAATCTTCAGCAGGCAAGATTAGAGTTGAAGCAGAAGAAGAAGAAGCCGTCTTGTCTGCTGCTCATGCAATGATCACTCAACTATCTGGCTTGGTATGTGTTTTGGAACAGAAACATATGCAAACGTTGGCAATTATAGTGAGCATTGTTTTTTGCAAGACAAATTCAATTGCTGCAAAATTGTCACACTGTGGCTGCTTGCGGGGGATCTTCTTAAACTAGATCATTGAAACTATATGATATCATAATGGGAACTCATGGGGACCTGACCATCAGAATTAATAGCTTACTGAATGTGAGAAAATTCGTACTTAATTAGCCAGTGGGTTCCAACTTCTAAACAGTAACCGAGCATTTGGGGCACACCCATTGAATATTGAATTGCATTGCTTGAAAAATGAATAAATACATACTATAGGGGCAAGACAAAAGTATGACAAGATTTACAGTTTACGGCTCAATGAGGGGGATCAAGTTACGACTAAAACAATGTTAAGATCAATTGTAAATAACTCTATTATGTTGAAAACTCTTCATATTGAGTTGTATCCTCATTATTATTTTGTAATAACTTTAGTGACGGGGCTGAAAAATAATTCTTGGGTACATACAGTAGATTGCCTCATAATATATGCATGCAATATAAAACATCAAAATTCATTCTATATAAATAGAGTGCCGATATTGATTCAAAGATGTGATTTTGTCTTTTTACACAACTCAATGACTTGATAACTAGTCTTATGAGTTTTCACCATGCGGTCGATTCATACCTCTTAGTACTAAGTTAGTTGACACAAAACTCAATTATACAACATGTTATATACACGAGGAACTTGACACTATTCGACTATAAACAGATTTTTGAAAGTAGTGAAGTAACTTTGACATGACACCCAGTTCAACTTGGGAGAGAGATGTTGAAGGAAATATCACACATTCTTTACTTTATTTTTGTTTATGATTTACTAAGGGAAATAGACGACAAGTGGATCCGTGGCGCAATGGTAGCGCGTCTGACTCCAGATCAGAAGGTTGCGTGTTCGATTCACGTCGGGTTCAGTTTTTACTTTTTGCAATTTTCCATTTTTGGCGTGGGCATTTTGGTCATTGCGTTCTTAAACCCATCTTCTCCATCCTCCCGAAGCCCAAACTCTTCCAACAGCACAGCTGACCCTCTCTCTCTGTATCTGTCTCTGTCTCACACACATTTGTTCATTCTTCCAGAACCACCAACCAGTCGATAAATTCACACTGACAGATACACATACACCAATTTTGGCAGAGACAAGCCCCTAAATTTGCCACTCATACAAGAACTAAATGTATGATCACTTTCTACCCTCTCCTCCAAATTCATCACAACCCCGCTAAGATGCCTTCAAATTTATCAACAGTGTCTCTCCAACTCACCCCAATTCCTTGTTTCCCGCCCAAATTCACCCACCCATCTTCACATAATTGCAGTAGCACGCACCCATGTAGTAAGAAGAGACCCAGTTACAGTATCTTCTGTGTATCGACCCGACCCAAGAGAAAATCGATCTCCAAGGCCGATAAGAGCTCAGAGGCAGAAGAGATGGTTCGTTTGCTGATGAGGAATTTTAGTGACAAAAGGCCATTGTTGTCAACTTTGAACAAGTATGTAAAGATTGTGAGGACTGAGCACTGTTTTCTTCTGTTTGAAGAGCTTGGGAAGACTGATCAGTGGCTTCAGTGTCTCGAGGTTTGGCGTTTTTGGCAACCCTTTTGCTTTTTATCTCTCTATTTTCTAAGAAAGCTTGTGCATTTCTAAGAAAGTTGTTGATTTGTTGCTAATATGATAAGACGAGGAAGAAAAGTGCAAGAAAATAAGCAAAATTCCCTCTTCTGGGGGGAAGCCCTCTGTAATAGCAGTTCAAAGATAACTCGACTTTTTTTTGTGGACTCCAATAAATACAGCCAAGATAGCATTATCAGCTCCTAATAATCAGCCATTAGATCCTAATTCCTAGATATACTTCACTCATCCGATTTCCTCCAACAATCTTGCCAATCTAAAGTTATTAATTTCTAAAATCCTGCTAACCTTTCTCTGCTGCTTAGTCTTCTCTTCAGCTCCAAGATTTACTCCACTGATGAATAATAATCACACCATTAGTTGCATAATCATCTCCTCTGGTGCATAACATAATATTTGTGATTTTTAGTTTGGTTTGTGGTTGTGCTTTTATAGTTTTGTTTAGGCTGTTGTTGTTGCCAAAGCAATGTTTCCAACAGTTAAAACAAGTACTGCGGTAAATAGTTGTATACTTAGCTTTTATGGTTGTGCATTGCTATTGTATAAGCCAATTTGCTTTGGTAGCAGGGTATAGGATAATCGTCTGTTACTCTGTACACATAGTCGTTCATCATGCATAAACATATTCATATGGGGGCATTAGACATATTGCTTGCTGTATGCAACTTCACTGAAGTGTTAGCATTGCTGTCTTTTATAGTCCACAAGCTGCAGCATTGTTTCCTTGATATTCTCTATTTAACCATAGGTCCATAGCACTATCATACAAAATAGGGGATTTTATATTTAAGTGGATGAGCTATGACAAATCATGTAGCAGACCGTTGGACATGTTATGTTGTATTGGCATTTCTTTGGATTATCTTATATATTTTTTATTATCTGCTAGCAACACCATAAATCTCGTGCAGTTTATTATATTGTTACTTGGTGGCATGCCTATGTGTTTAAAGCACGTTGGGAACCCCTAATGTAGTGGTCATTAGCTTGAATGTGTGGTGTGCTGTCGCAGGCAACCAAAAATAAAACCAATACTCTTAAAAATAAATGTAGTAGTGCGAGTAGGGATCGTTCCCACAAAGAGTATCTAGCCTAATTTTATGCTTCGTGAACAAGGATGGAAGGGGGTTTGAGTTTAACGAAAACAATTAAAGAACAATTCAAATTAAAGTATCAAAATCAATCAAGAGAACAAACCTTGATCTAAGTCAACATTCACCATCGGAATTTAAGTTACAACTGATTATCGATGCAAGTATATATCAATTCACTATCTGAATATTCACCGTTAGAACTATCTTCCTAACTTTTCTTAGTCGCAATTAATTAGAAAACAAGCGATCTAATTAACCTTAACTACTAAACAACCCAAGACAAGTACTAAAATTTTAATCTAGTAGCATCATTAAGAATTAGAAAGATCGATGAAACTAAACAATACAAGCACAAGCGGATGCATTTAATTTATTCGAATGTTCTTTCTAAGATCTAATAGTCTCTGTTGCAGCAAATCATTAAATCTTAGTTGCTTCACAAATTAGAGGGATCAAACAATTACGGATTTGATATCTAACCCAGCAGTAGATTGCAACGAATAATAAACTAGTAGGCCTCCTAGTAATTAAACGATGCAATCATAAAAATAGGTACAACAAAACATCCAATACCCAAAACATAAATTGAACTATAAAAACAAATTAGATCTCACAGTTTTATTGATTCCGAGGCTTCCGTTTCCTTAGATCAAGTATTATAGTTTAGCCACACATGGCCTTCATGAAAACTAAAAGAAAGAGTTAGAGAAGAAGGGGTATAGCAGCCTCTATATTATGCTCATTTTTCTTTCTTTCTCTCTCCTTAAATAAATATAGAAAACATATCACACTCCCAAAACGTGTACAACTCAAATCCCTATATTATAGGTATTCCTTATCAAAACAGATTGACAGAAATCGTGCTGGAACTTGTGATCTGTTTTTCTATCAGATAACGACTGAATATTGATTTGGGCTCTTCATGAAAGTTGTAGCCCTGAATGTGTAGATAAATTTAGGCTTTTGAATCACCTGATTTGGATTTCGTAAACTCAAGTTATGACCCACCGAAGTTTACTGGTTCAGAAAGGAATCCAACTCTAATCAGGATTCTGATTAGTTTTCCCGGCTTGACTTTGAAACAATGTTTGGAGGCCCAAACGAACTCGGATTTTTGCAAACCATACCTTTCTGAAAAGCTTAAGACGTCCTCTAAAAACTTCATGAAGAATACTTTCTCAGCCTGAAACTCTAACGCCATCCAAACCTCAATTAAAGCTCCATAGATTGAACTGCCTAAAAACTGAAAATTGCATAATAATACTCCATATCTATTCTTTTGCCTTCAATACTTCCCTTGATGCAATCAATATCTCTCAAAACTCAAAACATGAAAGTTGTAGATATTTTCTTTGGCATTTCATAGCATCTTGAATCATCTCAATCGGAGCTTGGATGAGAGAGTTATGCCCAGATTATGAAGCAATGTCGAAACTGTTCACAATCATCCAATTAGCTTCGTTTTGCATTTAACGTCTCTATTTGCATCCTAAATCAAAATATAAGAATAATGAGTATATTTAGGCTCCAAATAACTATAAAAGGCTAAATATTAAAAGAGAAAAATATGACATTTTGCATTCTCATCAATGTCCACTTGCTTATTATGCATCTCATATTTAGGTTTTTAGATGGATGCAAAAACAACGGTGGTATATAGCAGATAATGGGGTTTATTCGAAGTTAATATCAGTTATGGGAAGGAAAGGCCAAACCCGGATGGCCATGTGGCTCTTCTCTGAGATGCGTAACAGTGGATGCCGAGCTGACACTTCGGTTTACAATGCACTCATCACAGCCCACCTTCACTCTCGGGACAAATCCAAGGCCTTGGCCAAGGCTCTTGGATACTTTGACAAGATGAAAGGAATGGAACGCTGTAAGCCAAATATTGTGACATACAACATTCTTTTGCGAGCTTTTGCTCAGGCCAGAAATGTGGGGCAAGTTGATGCTTTGTTCCAAGATCTTGATGAGAGCATTGTTACCCCTGATATCTTCACATTTAATGGTGTAATGGATGCCTATGGGAAAAATGGAATGATCAAAGAAATGGAATTAGTGCTTTCACAAATGAAGGGTAAACAGGTGAAGCCAGACATCATCACTTTTAATTTGTTGATTGATTCATATGGGAGGAAGCAAGCATTTGATAAGATGGAACAAGTGTTTAAAAGCTTGTTGCACTCCAAAGAAAGACCAACACTTCCAACTTTTAATTCGATGATCACAAACTATGGAAAAGCACGGCTTAGAGAGAGAGCAGAGTTTGTTTTCCAGAAGATGACTGATATGAGATACACGCCAAACTTCATCACATATGAGTGTCTCATCATGATGTATGGATATTGTGATTGTGTTTCGAGGGCAAGAGATACCTTTGATGATGTGATAGAAACTCAGAAGGAGAAAAAGGTTTCAACACTAAATGCCATGCTTGACGTTTACTGCATGAATGGTTTACCAATGGAAGCGGACATGTTATTTGAGAGTGCATGTACAACTAAGACTTTTCGTATAGATTCCTCAACATATAAACTTCTCTATAAGGCTTACACTAAAGCTGACATGAAGGAGCTATTACAGAAATTGATGGCGCAGATGGACAGAGATGGTATCATTCCCAATAAAAGGTTCTTCCTGGATGCTTTAGGAGCCTTTGGGTCTTCACTCACTGACCCAAAGGCTGCTAATGACAAAAAGAAGTTAAGCAGGCCAGCTGTTACTGGAAAGCAATAGGTGGAGGTATTTGGCTGTTTTGTTGGTGTGCTCCTGAACATCTAGACTAAGCTATGATCCAAGCAGAACTTTTTATGTCAAGGAGACGGTGAGTGGGTTCAGCAACGGATTACTTTATGGCTTCAATCTCGTTGCCTTTATTATGTGGTATGCTTCTTGTTCTTTATAAGTTCCTTTTTTAATATCCTTTTTGCATTTATCCATTCTGATCTATGTCATTTAGCCACTCTGATCTTACAAAAATTCCTTGCTTTGTTTCCCTTTTCTAACTTGCAAGTCTTTGCTAGATTTGTTCGAACATTTGAGACCTTGAATCCTTTGAGTTTCTTGACAAGGGGTGTTCATTTCTCTTTTCCTTTATTTTAGTCGTTTCGATATAACTTATAAGTTCCAACATAGAATCTTCTGCGTTGAACTCACTCATACTTGCTGAGGAATTAAGCATAATAGAGTTATGAAAGTGGCAGTTTCAAGGTATTCAGAATTTCAAGTAGAAAAAATGTGACGAAGTATAAATCTGGGGGTGGCAATGCAGCAAGGACTTCACAATTGCTTTGAAAAACTTCATGAATGAGTTTGGGAGCTGAAAAATGTGCTGCATTATGGATGATCTCTTATACATGTATGATAGAACTCTCACCATTTCTAGAATATCTGAAATTATTTAAAAATCACTTGTGCTTGTACTTTATTTAGAAATTGAAAGTTCTTATGTTTAGAGAATTCGTGATACCCTAGTTATGTATGATGACATTCATAAGTTCTGCCAAAAATAAGTAAAGTAAGCAGAAAAAGGAAAAAGAAGAACAAAGACGAACTTTTTTATTTATTTCATTTTTTGTAATTTCCAATAGAGGTGAACTTTTTATTTATTTCATTTTTTGTAATTTCCAACAGAGGAGACGATTTTACTTCCAAATCATGAATCAAACACCAATTGACTGAACTATCCTCACTGCTAGCTGATAGCAACCACTCAGAGTGGTCTGAACCCCTGATTTCGGTGCATGTTGTAACGGCATACTAAGCTACTAGGCGAACAGCATGTCTAGAACAAGGTTTCCTACAACAACTTTCTGAACTAGAATATTAACTTGCTCAAGTCATTTTACATTTTATTGCTTGAGAACTCCATGTATTACTGTCAAGCGGCAGCTTCAGCTACCAAATTTCTTCTTTTATCTTCCATAGATCTGCATTTTGCCATTTTTATGGACCAGAAGATTACAGCTTAAGTGGCATTTTGTAAACAGATGCATTGCTGGTTCTCATCTATATTCATTTAGCAACATCACAGAGAGCTCCTATAATCTAAGTCAAATTCAGTTTTCATAAACTCAGCATTTGTGCATAAAGGTGTTTCAATTCAACATTCTTTGATTTTCAACTCTGTCCATATTCTTGTGCCACTTTAAATGCTCTTTCCTGTTGAATGTTCCCTATCTAATCAACACTCAACTTGAGTGTAATGCTGTGGTAGATAAGACCTGAAATGCGTCCAATAATATATCACCAATTTCCATTTGTCATGTCCCATGCTTCAGTGGGAGCTGGAAACACTGTTAACCATTCTTATATTTCATGTTTCTTTTTGCATTAATTAACCATTTGTCACGTCTTAGACTGCAATGGGGAAACATAATGAATTAGCATGCAGCAGAGTGTACAAAGGTATTATCTAATATTGAATTTAGTTTAACTTCGGGTTTAATAACAATAGAAGGTTTCTCTTTTATTTATACTGGTGTCTTTCTTTTTCTGGAGTCATGTCATTTGCTATATCTTTGTTTCATGGGTGGGAATGTGTAAACTTACCCAATATACCAGGTACTTGTGGAATTTCCAAATTCTTACTTGTTAAATATTATTTTTTGCTCCTTTTAAATTTTGTTGGATCTGTTTCTGAAAATTTTGTTTGGATCACAAGTTGTACCAGCTATTGCTAAAAGATGGTGGTTTAGAAGTTGTGCATGTGACCATGTTGCTGAACTGATACTGGTGGGGCTTAAGATTAGGTACTCGGGGTCTATCCATGGACGGCTGTCTCAATAATTATGACTCATTAATAATGTGTGTTCCATGACCTTATAAGTTTTTGAATGCTTGAGTTGTTTACACCATACCATAATTAAAATATGTTTGCCACTTGATTGGGACTGAAAAGAATGGAAGTTTCTTCATCCTCTGTTTGATTTGCTCAAGTGACACTCCATTTTCTGTTTTGCTGAAACTTGTCGTGGTGGGCTAGACAACTTTGTTCATTATCAGAATCACCAATGCCTTGAGGAAATCATATAACCATATATATTTTTTGAAGTGTCATGATAATGATAAACTCATTTCTATTTTATGCATGACCATGTTTCTGCTTTTTGACAATAGACTTATTAAGCTGAGTTATTTATTATCACCGGTAGGATCAAATTCTTCAAAGGACATACTGGTCTTGCAATCTGCAAGGTACTTGCATAGGGCAGCCAATGCTGATGCCAGTTTGTTGGCCAGGAGGGGTGCTATTACTTTTGAATGCTTGTTTGCAGATGCTTCCCTTAGACACCACCTATGTTGTGACTGGTGTGTATTTTGAGGAAATCTTCTCTTCTCTTTGTATTTTTTTCTTGATTTGTCAAAAAAACATATTTTTCTTTCTTGTTCTGGATAATGGGTACCTGGACAAATGAATAAATTAGATATTAAAATTATTTTGGCAGTGTAACTGTTGGTATTGTTTTTTGTTAGGTAAAATGTATGAGCAAGAGCCTTACCAAGCACTTTATTCAAAATTTATAAACTATTTTTATCCTATTTGTGCACAGTTCGTACTTATTATGAATGCTGGTGCGTTAAATGGCCTCCAATAGCATCTGAATGACTCTAAAGGATAACACATAACGTCAAATGATACCCCCAAGGCTTTCTTGAGTTCTTTCATTTTCGGAAAATAAGAAAAAAAATAATAAATAGAAAGAAAACAAAGGGAGACCTGGGGACTAAAAAGAAGCCATATATTAAGAGATGATGGAGTAACAGAAGTACATCCAAACTACCCTCATGTTGGCAAATACAGCAATTTCTTCAACCAATGTGAGCTAGTCGAGCTACGGGTAGCCATTTAACCCTCTTCTGACTCTGCATTCAAAGTAAATATATCGAAATAAAAGTAAAATGGATAATCCAAGACAGATGCATAAATACTGTCTAGTGCACCATTCAGAAAGCATTGAACAACTATATTTTCCGTTAAGCATGCCTTTTATGAAATGGATGTAACACATAATTCAAACAGAGAAGTACACCATGTATAGCTTCCATGTCTTTCTTATAAAAACCTAGAGGTGAGCCATAAACAGATAGAAGCACCTCACCATGTTTCGGAAGCCTTAAAGTTTTGGGTGTTACGCCAACAGACAACCTCTGGCTACTAACCTGCAATCATAAGTTGAAGCCACCGAGTTACTACCACAGCATCACAAATACCAAACATGACGGCCATCCGGATATTCATTTAGCTACAAAGAAAAATCATTAGAACATCTTACAAAAGAACTTATAATGTTACAAGTGTAATTAATCGACTATGTAATTATTTTGTACATCAATCTACTATGGACATTGGGGCGATCAATTTACTAGCATTTCCAAGAGGAACATTCTACGCCTACTCCAACTACTGTCCCTAACTTCTTATCGTTTTCCTACTTGCAATTGAATACGAGGAGTTAAGCACTAGCCTTGCTGACTTTCAAGAAGGACAGAAAGCTCCATGGTCAACTTACTACATGCCCAACCTCAGAAACTATAGAATCAAGCGAAGGGCAAACAGTATGTCCTGACAATATGGCTGAATGTCGTTACATATGGATGGCCCCTTGGACAATTCTTCAAGATACTCCAGTTGGATTAAAGAAAGTGAAATTTGGAACTCGCCTGTGCAACTGTGTTCTGACATTAGTTCCCTCTATATGCCTCAGCAATCGAAACATGAATGTCCATTTTAAGTTCAAAATAGTCTAGAAAACAATGGACTCTAGAAACTATAAACAGCTTAGACATAGCATGAAGAAATCAACAAGATGATACTTCTCTTTCTTCATTTTTTTTTAATTAAATAAGGAGCTACATAACGCAGGAGTTTGGAAAGCATCTTGAAACTCAAGCATCTGAGGATTGGATGGCTCCTCCAAAACCTATAGAACAATTTTCATAGGAGATATAAGTAAAGGACATATAACATGTTAACACACTCCTGACTCCTTTTACATATATTAGAGACAGAAACACATATTACTAACTAGTTTTCTCGTTCCATAAGAAGCACAGTTTGATATGAACCAATCCCGTCCCATTACAACAAAAAAGACAAAAAGAAGGAGGGCCGAGAAAGAAAGGAAAGGGAAAAAAACATACAAAACCCCCAATCGGTGGGTTCTCTGCACCAATGAGGCTGGATTTTGCTGCCACCAAAGAAATAACTCGTGAGACGAAATTAATACAAAGAATATGATGTCATATCTGTTAAACATCTAAAGAGACTTACTACTACCTGCTTTGCTTGAAAATTCAAAGCCACTAAAAGAAGGCATTGCAGCAGAGTAATTGGGATAAACTACTGACATCCTGTGTAGAAGAGAAACATGTATGCTTCTTCCATTAGCCTGGTTAATAAATATTCTACCATCTTTATCCCTCCATACCTCATTTTCCCATCTTTCCCATTACTTACAACTTTAAGATTTGGAAGGTTTTCCTTGAAAACTTGCAGTACAGGAGTCTGTAGCTGGTCCTTGCAGAAATGCGAATGGAACAAACGCCACCAAGTCTGAAACTGTTCAACCTCCACATCACGAAGAGCCCTGATTGCAGCACTTTGATGTTCAACTGGAAAACATAAAAACCTAATAGTACGGAACATGATGCATTTAACAAAACACTTCATTATACAATTGTCAAAAGACCTAAAGGTATGTCAGAACTCGACAGTGAGGTTAGGATGGTGAACATCCAACATGAAAGACACAATCAACCTTATGAACACAAGTCTCAAAAATTCTTGAGTTGAGGTTCAAAGGAAGAGCAAAAGATCATGAACTAGGCATAAGATGGAAAATATTTGCCAAGGTTTCAAATGGTCTAGATAAAGCGAATGGAAAGAAATGATGTATGCAAACTACAACAAGCTATAGATATCGAGGCTTTCGTATGCACGCGTATGATATATATCATACTGCAAAATAACGATCTAAACCAATTTGTAACAAACTGATTGTATTTATATTTGTTAAGAGTATTAGGGTATTATGTGTAAATATTAGAGGGTCTAATACATCTTTTGTATTATTCTAAGTTTACTTTAAATACAAGTGGTTTGTGAGAGTAGGTTAAGTTTTGTCCACTCTTCGTCTTTCTCTAATATTGTGTTAATTCTCTAAACTTAACTTGGTATCAGAGCAATTCGATCCTAAATACAAATCTTAGTGTGTTTGTGTTGTGAAAATTACCTTGGCTTGGTGGTGTCACTATTAAGGTGGTGCTGTTGTCGAAGTGGTGTCACTGTGTGGTGGTACTGCTATCATCCAACATAGTGGTGGCGATACTTGGTGGTGGTGACATATTGTAGTAGCGGTGGTGCTATGTCTGTGGTGGAGGTTTCCGGTGTGAGGCATTGTTGAGGTGTTGTCGACATCAGTACCTCTGTGTTCTGCGATTGTGGTGGTGTCCTCTGTGTTCTGCAATTGTGGTGGTGTGGTCTCTAGTCATCGAGATTGGTGGCATCGTGGCGGTTGCGATGGTGCTGCTGTGTAACCCGTTGTGGTGGTGTGATAGTGGGGCGTCAGCGCCGTCGAAGATCGAGAGTTTCTTTTGAAACCCTAATCAGACAAAGAAGACAAGGTTCGTTTGGGTCAATTATAGGTCGGTTCCAGCCCACTTCAGACCTAGTCCAGCCCAAGATCTAAACCAAAATTGGTCCATCCCAAGACCCAGACCAAATCGGTTCAAGGCCGGTTCAATTCGGTTTGGTCCATTATAGGCCGGTTTAATCTCGGTTTGGTCCACTCTAAGCCGGTTCAGGTAGTTTTGCATCGGCTCAAACCAGCTCCTTCTGTTGCTGCTCCGATTCAACGGTCCATTCCATTTCTCTGGTCCGGTTTAGTCAGTTTGGCACCAGTTCAATCCGTTTCTATCGACTTTCACGCTAGTTCCGTGATCTAGTCCGTTTTTTAAGTCCGGTTCAACGATCCAATGGTCTTTTCTTGTCTGCTTAGCAGTCCAACTACTTTCTCTTACTTTGTTCAATTGTCTAGCAATAAGGTTGCTCCTGTTTTACTATCTGCTATATTATTTTGGAACCTAAGCAAGATGTTATTGCTCCATCCTTGCCACTTACCTCTACTTCTCCGATTTTTATTAATGGTCTCATGACTTCCGTTAAACTCAATGGGACCAATTATACTTTATGGTCCCATTTCGTTCAAGTTTTTCTTCGAGGCAAAAGTTTTAAGAAATATTTGGTTAATCCCAAACCTAATGAAGATACTTCTGGATATGATCAGTGGGAACAAAAGGACGCTTAGATTATCTCTTTATTGTTGAATAGCATTGAGCCGAGTATTAGTTCTACTCTGCTCTACCTTGACACTGCTAAAGAGATATGGAATCACTTGGCCACTATATATTTTAGTACAAGTAATTTTACCCGTGCGTATGAGGTATGCAAGCAGTACTTCCAGCTAGATCAGGGTACTATGAGCCTTTGCGGATTATTACTCCCACATTTGGGCAGTCTATGAGGAGTTGAAGCTCTACCATCTGTTCACTACTGATGTAGCAGTTTGGCAGAAGCAACATGAGGATTTGGATGTTGTTAGGTTTTTTGTAGGATTAAAACCTGAATATGAGGCTATTCGTTCTTAGATTTTGGGTGGTTCTAGTCTTCCCTCTCTCCTTGAGATTTTCTCTCGTTTACAGCATGCTACTCTGTCTACTCTTTCAGGCATCGATCATGGTGTCTCCACTGATCGCTCAGCTCTTGTGGTTCCTAGTAGACATAGTGATAGTCACTGAGGTGGACATGGTAATCATGGTGGTCGTGGAGGCCGAGGAGGTCGTACGAGTGGACATGAGTAGGGGCCATAGTGGACCTTGTTCCTGTACTCACTGTAGTCATGGAGGACACACTATAGATTTCTATTAAGATTTACATGTAAAACCTTCTGGTATTGCTAATCAAGTTTCCTATTAGGATGACATCTCGGTTGTTTCTTCTATACCTCAGTCAGCTCCACTAGACTCTGGGTTGGTTACTATTACACGTGAGGAGTATACTTAGTTCATGCCCCAGCAATAGACTGTTTCATCTTCCTCCACTACTATTTTTGCCCAGTCAGGTATCGCTTCCACTTGTTTATTGTCCTCCACTCATAGTTCCTGGATCATAGACTCTGGCACTTCTGACCATATGACTAGTGTGTCTGGTGTCTTTTCTACTTATCAGTCTGCTATTTTTACACATAGTGTTACTCTTGCTAATAGTACTTGTTCTAAAGTTTCAGGTTTTGGGACTACTCACTTGAGTCCTAATATGTCTCTATCCTCTGTATTATTTGTTTGTCAGTTTTCTTTTAATTTACTTTCCATTAGCAAAATTATCAGCTCTCTGAATTGTTCTGTAATATTTTATCCCTCTTATTTTATATTTCAGGATCTCAAAAGTAAGAGGAAGATTGGTACGAGACATAAAGCTGGTGGCCTATCTTACTTTGACTTTGATTCACCTACTCGGACTCGACAAACCTCGTTGTCTTTTTTTAATGACATTGTTGTCTTGGATATCCCTCTCTCCAGAATCTGAAGCGCCAAATTCCTAATCTTAGTTATGTGTCATATGTGTCTGGTGAACTTGTTAACTTAGTAAGTATCACCGTGTGTCCTTTCAGTCTAGAGTCAATAATCGTGTGTTTAGTCCATTTGAAATGGTATATTCTGATGTATGGGGTTTAATAAAGAATATTTCATCTAATAAATATCCTTATTTTGTATCATTTGTAGATGATTATTCTCATGTGACATGGTTGTTTTTTATGAAAGATCATTATGAATTGTTCTCTATATTTGAGACCTTTTGCAAAGAAAAAAAAACTCAGTTTAGCTGTCGTATACGTATTTTACGTTCTAAAAAGTATGAATTTTACTAGCTCACACTTTTCAAAGATGTTCATGCCTTTTGTTTAATTTGTGATAGATGTCAGAGGTTGGGAAGCATTTCAAAAAGAAACATAATGCCCTTAAACTCAATTCTTGTGATTGAAATTTTTGACTGTTGGGGCATTGATTTTATAAGACCATTCCCTCCTTCCTTTGGTTATCTATACATCCTGGTAGCTGTAGACTATGTATCCAAATGGGTTGACGCAATTTCATGTCAGAATAATGATCACCAAACGGTGATTAAATTTTAAAAAAAAAAATTTTGTCCCATTTTGGAATTCCGAAATCAATTATAAGAGAGAGGGTACTCATTTTTGCAATCGCCCTTTCTAGAATTTGATGAAAAAATATTTGATTTTTCACAAAATTGTAACCCCTTATCACTTACAGACTAATGGACAGGCTGAATTGGCTAATCGAGAAATCAAATTAATTTTAAAAAATGGTAAATCCAAACCGCAAAGATTGGTCGTTAAGACTAACTGATCCACTCTGGGCATACCGCACTGCTTTTAAAATAATTTTGGGCATGTCTCCCTATCGATTAGTCTATGAAAAACCTTATCACCTGCGTGTGGAATTGGAGCATAGAACATACTGGGCCATTAAAGCAATGAATTTTGACTTGGACAAGGCTGGACTTTCAAGAAAACTGCAAATTAACGAACTGGAGGAATTGAGAAATGAAGCATATGAGAATGCTAAGATTGCGAAATCTAGGATAAAAAATTTTCATGACAAGAACATAATGCAGATGTCTTTTGAAGCTTTTCAAAAAGTCATGTTGTTTAATTTAAGATTCCGCCTCTTCCCTGGTAAGTTAAAATCAAGATGGACAGAGCCTTACATTGTTAAAAAGATGTATAGACATTGACCAGTAGAAGTGAAAAATCCCTCGAATGGTAATACCTTTACTATTAATGGTCAGCGGTTGAAACCATTTTTGGAGGATTTTGTTAAAAATGTGAAAACCATTCTTTTAATAGACCCAAAAAATTCCTCTGAGAATTGTGCCTGCCGACACAAAAAGGGGTCGGATCAGGAAAAACCTGATAAAAACAAACCCGAGCAGACACCTTTATAAGGCATTCCCCTTTTTTCTCTTTTTCCTCACCGTCTTTCCCTTTTCTTCTTCTTCTTCTTCTTCGCTTTCTTTTCTAATGTGCTGCTCTCTATAAAAACGACCCAACAACCCCATAACCATATTACTCGAAGACCTAATCCTCTGTCTCATGATCTGCATTTGTTTACTCTATTTGTACATGGCTCTTCTTCTTCTGTCGGCATTCACGATCAAGGGTTTTCGTCTTGGCGAGAACCCAAATTTCCCCAAAAAAATGATTAATTTCTGTATTTTGTTTGTAGGTGTCAGTGGATGAATAGACCTCTACCTTTCAACCTTATCTCTAAGATCTATATACTGGTAAATTCGAAACATTGGGGACAATGTTCAATTTAGGTTGGGGGTGAGAACTACAGTTCATCTGTGCCCGTAGAAAATTTTTAAATTTGTGTTGTTGTTGCTGTTTTTGATCAGATTATGTACCTTGTTTTGTATTTTGTATAAATTGATGATTATGTTTGTGAGTCATCTCTGATCGTCTTTGTAACTGGCAGACGTTAAAGAACCAGATAGTGAGTCTTAAAGCATAGAAAGTATGAATATTAAACTTTTTTTGTTTAGTCTAGGAGTTTTACACACTTTCC